AGTACAACAACGGCCAGTACAACAACGGCCAGTATAACAACAACAACAACCAGGGCCAGCAGTGGAACGCCAACAACAACGCTCAGATCATGCAGCTGCAGGAGGCCACTCAGGCGGACAACCTGGCGCTGGCACGCGTGCGCGAGTCGGAGGCCCAGATCAACCGCGCAGCCCAGCTGGCCACCGCATACCCGGGCGCCCACGCCCAGAATATCCGCAACTGCCATGCCGCTGCCAGCGAGGCCCTCGCTAGAGCCGACCAGGCCGTCCAGAGAGCTGCTGAGTCGCTCAGATACTGAATGGTCCTTTCTCCACATACACACAAGGGGCCCTTTTTTTTCTATTTATAAACTTTATAGGGTTGTCTAACCCCCATGCATTGCCGTGCATAGCCTGGTTCCGTCTATTTATAGTCATCATTTTTTTTCCAGAAGAATTAATACATGGAACTTTATAATTACTTCTTATTTCTTAGCAAGCCAAATACCTCTCCCGCTCTCTCCTCCCTGATACACATGTATATAAACAGCGGTGTGTCGCACTGCCTCTTCATATCCAAGCTCAACCACACCGCTCCATCTCACACCCATCCTTAACCTCCCACATCCAAACACTCCCGCCATGAAGTTCTCTCTTGCCACCGCCCTCCTCCTCCTGGCCACCGCCTCCGCCGCCCCACTGGCCGCTCCCGCGCCCGCTCCCGTCGACTCTCCGCTGGTCGCCCGCGCCGCCATCAAGATCAACACCTCTGCCGTGCGCCAGGCCATCTCGCTTGACAACTCCGCCGCTGGCAAGCAGGCCGCGGCCATCAGCAACCTGCAATCAGCCATATCGAAACTCGGCTCCTCCTCGGGTTCCGCCATTTCTGCCGCCCGCAACGCCCACCAGAACGCTATCAGGGCTCAGCAGCAGGCCCGTGCCGCTACCCTGGCAGCCGCCAACGCGCTCAAACGCCTGGTATGAATTTTATTTCTACTTTTTTTCCCCTTTCCTTTGTTAATAATCAATCGTCGTCGGAAATGATGCCATGTGCTTGATTTCTTTCCTTTTTTTTCTCGTTCTTTTTGTTTTCGTTTTCCGGCTAAAAGAAATCAATGCAGCTAGTATTTTTCTAGGATAAACATGTGTTTGTGGAAGTAAAAAAAAAATCTAGCAGGATATTTACTTTCTCGATACAAACAAATCTCCCTATAAATTCCCCCCTCCCCACGGTCCGCCTTGCTTTTTTTCTCTTCTCAATCTCAACCAAAAAAAACTCCTAACACACCTCGTTCCCTACCATCATGAAGCTCTCCCTCGTCACCGCCCTCCTTTTTGCCGTCGCATCTGCCGTCGCCGCCCCCGCCACCCCCGCAACCCCCCGCACCCCCGCGAGCAACACCGTTGTGATCAACTACGGCTCTCTCAGCTCGCTTGTCCAGAGAGACAACCAGATCCTCGGTCTGCTGGGCGACCAGATCAACGTTCTGCAGGACGCCGTCAACTCTCTCAAGTCGACCTCCTCGGGCTCCATCGTCACTACGCTGGTCAACCAGCACAACAGTGCTATCTCGGCCCTGAAGAAGGCAAAGACCGCCCTGGTCAATGCCCGCAACAAGACCACCGGCTCACTCTAATCGGTTCTTGTAGCTTGCTGAATAAATACGGATTGCGTCGCATTAACCTGACTATTGTCGAAATAGCTGCCCGTCTGTAAAGACTGAATGCAGGATGTACAACCTTTCACAATTTATTTATCTGGTGGTTTTCATTAAACTATAAACACCTATTTTAGCGGATACAACTACTACAAACCGCCCCTATAAATATCATGGTGTACCGACCAGCAAATACCAAAACTACTTCCCATCGACTTTAACATCTATTCTTTCTAAATACAACCAAGTTGCTAATTATTTGCAATCCCGCAATAGGTATGACCACCAGTCCGCATACTTGATTCTCTCAAAAAAAGCTGTGTGAAAGAGTTGCGGCAGAAATTATTGACGTCATTGGGGTTACACTGACCATACAATATAATAGATATGGCTTAGGAGCTGTCCTGCTATTAATATGACTATAAATGTTATATATGTTTTATTTTATTAAAGAAATAATTAGACTTTAAAATTAACTTTAGAAACTACATGAACCATGTATTGATAATACACCACATTGACAAACACATTTTATGTTAAATAAGGTCAATTGTAGGCAGAATAAATATAATATATTCAGATAATTTCGGAAAACCAACACTGGGTCATAATGGTACGCTATATAATCAGATTGTTAAATCACGCTCAAGGTACGATGATATCATCATCACCACCACCACCACCACTGGGTGATGCAGTGCTCTTTGTTCCATCATGGTCTGGTGCTTGGATCGCCGCAACAATACCTATTGCGCCAGCTAGAGCCAGACCACAGGCAGTAACAACCATTATCCAATAGACCTTCCGTTCAACATTGTCGCCTTCATTGCCCTTGGAAAGATTAAACACTGGGTCGGTGATAATAAATGTGCCAAAAGACAGCCACCATGCGACCAGGATATACATTCCTTTCATTAGACTTGACTTAAAAATGCCAAACCGCTCGTAGACAAGCTTGGTAAATGGAATAGACAGGAAAAAAACGGGTATAGCCATCATTATAATGAATGCATAGTTTGCTATATATGCCGACTTGAGGGGGTCCTTGACATTTTTTCCGGCATAGTATGCCATAAATCCGTAACATACGGCTGTGGCAGCACTAAATGGACAGCCTATAAACTTGGCCGTGTTCATTAGACCCTCTTCATACTTTTTCGGTGTTTCCGTTGACATTTACAAGATATACGCAGACTTCAAACTATTTAAAAAATAAAAAAGTGTATAAATATGAAGAAAAATGGATATGGACAAAACAGAAGAAAAAATGTTTCTTGGAGACTTGTCGCACTCTAGCTCCAGTTTCTCTTACAATTCCAGTTTGCTTACTCTTTTATTGTTGCTTCTTTTAGCAAGCCTTCTTTTACATCCGTTTGCGAGCACTCTATTTAAATGATGAATAAATTTATCTTTTATAAAATATAATTTCTTTATGCATTGTATAAAAAAATAAAAAATAAATCTTTTTAAAAAGCAATTTAATTGTCTTTGAAGTTAGTTGTTCAAATCGTGCTGTTTTAATGCAAGAAATTGTTTAACACACAGCCACAAAAAATATTTAAACCCACAGCGTATGGTACCAATTTCATTATTTTGCAGATCATGGAACCTAGACCCATGCTGAGCGTTACTTTGCAGAGCGCCGTGTATAAATAAGCTATATATTGCAGTGTTAGTCCAGCATCTTTGAAGTGACTATTAGAGTTATTCCAATACACTTAGCTACAGCATTAACCACAAATGAACAAGACAAGTTTTTGTGGTTTCGTGGTTTCGTGAGTGCTGCAGCAATCTATACTTATAATGACTTCATCATCTAAAATCCTATTTCTTCAAAATCAAAGCAGTTTTATAAAAATAATTACAATTAATAACACAACTGTAGCTGATTGCGCGTTGTTTGACAATAAAATGCCGTTAATGTTATATATAAAAATGCAAAAAAAAATTAAAAAAAAAACAAAATTGTGATAATAACCAGTAAATATGTTAATAACTTTCAGATAATAAGTAGAAACATCCAAAAATAGGTTAACTACTAAATCCGCAATGGTCCAGTGGCTAGGATCCGACGCTCTCACCGTCGTGGCCGGGGTTCGATTCCCCGTTGCGGAAGTCACTTTTTTTGCGGGACAGCTGATGTGTTTTTTGCTTTCAAAATAAAAAGTTCAAATTTGTCAACAACCAAAAATATTCCGAAGACCCGGATTTGAACCAGGGACCTAGAGATTTCAACACGAATCACGATATTACACCATGCATATACTACAGTCTCCCGCTCTACCGCTGAGCTACCTTCGGCTTTTTTTAGTAAGCTGCAAATTTTGTATTTAGAGAAAAGGCACCGCAGTAATTTTAATGCGAATTTGCCTATTTTTTGTT